TATATATATATATATATATATATATATATATATATATATATATATATATATATATATATATATATATATATATATATATATATATATATATATATATATATGTGTGTGTGTGTGTGTGTGTGTGTGTGTGAGTGAGCGTTTGTGTGTTAATATTAAAGTCTTCTAAATGAGACTTAATCTTATTTGTATAACACATAAAACAAAGAAACATATATATTTTCATAAGCATGTCAATGTTAATATCTATAGCAAGTATGCAAGCAGTATATGATCATTCCGGTACAGTTAAAAATATCGACAGTCCTGGATGGATATGAGCAATAGCAGCGATTTTGTGTACCTCCAGGATGGCTGAGGCATGATCGCATTCCTTGCGAAGATTGCATGGAAAAGGGTGTCTCATATTTGCTTATTGGCCATGCAACATGCGCTGATTAGCCAGGAAGTGTGTCTCGTGTATATTTTAATAATAGAACGACTAGCGATGCTGCGATAGTGGAACGACGTAGACCTTTCACATTTCACAATCGTGCAAATCTATATCTCGATCTACCGGCTAATGAAAAGCGTATCGCTTTTGGAGCGCTTCGATTGGGTTGTTTCTTTTGAAAGAATATGTCCATTGAAAAATATCTAGTAGAGAGAGTCTAATAAAAAATAATATTAAATTCATAAATACTTTATTTCAGTTGTTGAATAAATAATTTGTCCGTAACATACTTTATTATTTTAACCAATGGAAACTCTTGATTATGAATAGGAGATATACGTGATTTACCCATTGACCATTCCGTCCATTCGGGTAATCACTAATTGGGTTAGAACTTAGATCTGACATCCTGAGGGCTGAGAGGCTGGCCGATGGCCGCTTGTGTCTGCCTCTGTGACCCTGATTCTGAGACTCTACTCTAGTAGTCTAGTAGTAGAGACCTCAGGCTGAAACTTGAACAATGGCTGAAGTTCTGAACCTCTCGGCGGCTCTTAAGTCTCAACTCTCAACTCTCAACTCTCAATGCCCAAGTTCAACCCAGCCGCCAGCGACGACTTTATTTTTAAAAAACTAAAAAGGGCATTGTTCATGTTTACAATAGGTCTCTCTTTGGGCATGATAAAGCACGGCTATGGAGCCGCGGAGACCAAAAACGTTTCTTTTTAGAGGGTAGCAAAGAACTCACCTTTTCTCCCTCACTTTCACTCCACACACACACATAAATACGCACTGTTGCAGTCACTCACGGGACGGACCCACAAAGTAAGCTCTATTTTTTGATACAAAATTACATTTAGGATCCCTCGGAGGCCTCTTTGGGGCCTACAAATGGGGGAAAGCGTTCCAGACAGATTTCAAGTTCAATAAAAGAAATAGGGACTACAGCTACGCTTTCGGTGATAAATAAAATATTTTCTGCCTGAAGTGAGGGGTCTTGAGACTCTGATCTCAACTCTCACCGGGTTCGGGAGACTCTCTCCTTTCTCTCTAGTAGACTATGGATTCTGGACTTTGGAGTCTGGACTTTGGAGTCTGGACTTTGGAGTCTGGACTTTGAAGTCTGGACTCTAGAGAGAGTCTGGACTTTGGAGTCTGGACCGGGACGTCCATTCAGAATTTCGTACTTTGACTAACAAACAAAGCCATTTTTAGGACTACATATATAGAACAAACCAATTCTATATATAAAAAACATGGACAAATACCAAATGGTCTGGGTCAATTTGCACCAGGAGGTTCGTATCCACAAATTGGACACCAGTCCACAGTAAACTAAACCTGGAGTCCCGGACTTTTTTTTTTCATACTGTCCAGACTCCAGAGCAGTTGCTCACTTTTGATTCACTGTTTTATTTGTAATTCAATGGAAATTGAAAACCGTAGCAAAATATAGTGATATGACGGATATTTTTAGTATACTTCTCAATTTCAACTAGTTAAAAAGGATTTTTGATTGTTTGCTACGTATGATAAGAAAGAATAATGGATTCATATAACAATTCCATTGGATATTAGTTTGAAACGTGTCTCGCGAGTTGCGACAATCGAGTAAATATTTTAGAAACCAATATAAATAGAAGATAAAAAGCCAAAGAGGGCTCCTGAGGACGACCTCGGTGAGCGCCAATTAAAAAAGTGCTCGATTTTATCCATATATATACATATATAGACTGTATACTCAATATAGTATATATATATATATAGTCTTAGAGAGAGAGAGAGAGAGTATGAGACTATGAGTATTAATAAAAAAAATTGAGAGTGTGTAGATTGTAGAATTGTGTCGAGTGTAAATAGACTGCAGAGCAGGGCTCATAAGTAACGTAACCCATACATGTAAAACGTAGATACGTAATAAACTTACGCCTATGAGCGCCATAGTGTGCATATAGACGTAAGGCTCATCGAGTAAACGTACTACGTTTTTCACGTTTACGAAATGATTTTAAAAACGTAATTACGCTAAAACCTGCTGAGTGAGTGTAGAGTTTGGAACTGTAGACTGTAGCCTGTAGACTGTAGACTATCGACTATTGTAGTGATTAAAAAAGCCCTACTGTCCTACTACCATTTTAAAAAAGCAGACACCAGGTCAGTTGTTATTTAAATCTGGTGCAATTACAGTATTACATTATTGCTAGATTATCCAATGTGTATTTATCTGAGATTGGTAGTCGATTTTCGGTCCTGCTTCTGTGACAAGAGTAGAGAGCAGATGCTTTGTGTTTGTATTTTTTCTGGAAACAATCCCAGAAGAGTGAGAAGACTCGAAGAGGGACTTTTATTTAGAATTGCATCACATGAGACAAAATCCCTCCGCCTCCATTCTGCTTCTCATCCAGGTCCAGGCCCAGGGTGCTCAGGCCCCAGGGGGCAAGCCCGCCAGTCAGCCAGCCAGGCGAGCCAGCTGCCAGCCTTTTTTTTTTAAAGTAATAAAAAAAAGCACAGCTGCTTGGACAGTTGAACTTGCAGTCTTGCACCCACCACAAGGCCCAAGAGTCCACAAGACTGAAAATACAGCACCCTGGCCTTGCGCCTGGCTCTCAGTCTCGGGCTCTTGGCTCTTAGAGTCCCAGGCTCTCTCATCAGTCTCTCAACTCTGCTCTCAAGTCGCAAGTCTCTTATCGCGACCCTTTCTCTGGATAGAGGGAAGAGTCTCTGCTAAATTTACGATCGGAGGAAACCTCATTTCTGCTCGTAAAGTCGCAACCCTAATCCTAAATCTAGGGGGCCGTGCTCTCTTGTCAAGACTCAGGACTCACAACAAGAGTGAAGAGAGTCTCAGAGACTTAGACACTCAAATTCTCAATCTCAATTCTCAGCTCACTGAGCTTAGCTCACAGCCCAGAAGTGTTTAAAACTGCATAGCGGATTGGAAGAAAAGAACTTCTGGTAGAATATATTTGTCTACCTCTGGGCAGACTCGGCAGAGTAGTAAAAATAAAACTTTAAAAAACCCCCATAACAAAAAAAACAGTCAGCCAACCGCCATTCGCTAAACGGGAAACGCCAGGGCCCACTTGGCCAGGGCTCCCCCCCCCACTCCCCAGTCCCTACTGCTTTACTAAAACCAGATGCTGGGACTTTCGAACTTCGATCGATGGCACAGCCGCATCGAAAATTTACTTTATAGCGTCTTGCCTTTTCTGAGGCTGCAGCTGGCAGGACTATTGGCTTTTACACAGGACAATGGACAATTTTCTTTTCTGATCCCCAGGCCCAGCCCCCAACAACAGTACAACACGAGTCACAAGGCAAATGAGGCAACATTCGAAACTCTACACGCAAATATATTATAAATATATAT